AAGGTGGTTTTGGACTAGCCTAGAGGTTGACCCAAGTAAACCCAAGGGTTGGGCTGACTAGGATAGGTGCATTGGGTTTAGGGTCACCCAATGCAAGTGTTAGTTTGGCATGGTGGGGCTTAGGTTGAGAAATGGATCAACATATAGTGGTTTTGATCACTTTGGGTTAGCCTAATTCCCAAACCAAGTTGACCCAAAAGGTTTGGGTCAACTAGGGTATGTGTATTATGTCAAGGGGGGCCCAATGCCATGATTGGTTTGATCCATTTTGGCTAGGATTGAGATTTGGTTCATAAGGGACGCACTTTAGACACTTAGGTCAAGCCAAATTTCTAACCCAAGTAGGCCCAAGGCATGGGCCCTCAAGAGAGATCTCCTAGGAACCTAAGAGGTCATCCCATAAGTTTGGGTAGGCATGGAAAGGACTTGGTCAAAGGGTTTGAATGGGTGGAAATGTATGGGAAGTTTGGTCAAACTTGGTTGACTTGATCAACCAAATTGACCTAGGGTCAAGAGTTTGGTCCATTAAGTTCAAATTGATTATATAAACTCAATGGAAGTGGTCCCAAGTCAAGGGGAGCTCATTTGGTTTGAAATGGATGCTTAAACCTTTAAGGGCCACTTTGGTCAACCAGGTCAAACCAAAGGGTGGGTTTAGATCCAATGTGTCCCTAATGATATTTAGGATTCATTGGAATAGGTTTTGAAGGTTGATACCATTAAACTATGTTGAGTTTTGGTGAAAAGATAAAAAATCCCCTTAAAGGGCATTTTTGTCATTTTGACCATTGGTCAAATTGGGGTCAAACTTGGTACAACGAAGTGTAGGTTACTGGTCAACATGTAATAAAAAATGTCATGGGTGTGATTAGAAGATTTGGAAAGGGTACCAAGGTCAAATTCTACTAAATGATAAGTCTAGTGGCATAGGCTGTAAATATTTGAAGGTTTTGTAGCCTTTAAAAATCAATTTAATTTTTAGGGGTAGAGATCTCAGAATGAGCCCAATTTTGATGGGTTGATCTTAGAGATATATTTAAATAATACGCAATTGATAGACCCTAAATCAGATGTCATTTGATTGAATTTCAGGGTGGTACAAAAACCACCCAAAAAGAGTTTCTGGTCCCGGGTCCTTAACCCTCGGATTTGGTTTGAAATCTTAGATTTGGATTAGATTTTGGACTTTTATGGTTGATTTTAAATTATACACAAAAATGAAAATCAAATGAAATATTGAAATTGATTGGATATGATTTGAAGATTGATTGAAAGTTGGTACCAAGTGGGACTAGAGATTGAATTGAAAAGTGGAATTGGATTTGACTTTGACTGAGACCTATGTGATTGAGAAGTAGGCATCTTCTAATCATTAGGTCACCAGAAAGAAACCCAAGTAGGTTCCAGTGACCTCATACAGAAATGAGGTCAAGAGATATATTGGTTAGAGAGAGAGAGAGAGAGAGAGAGAGAGAGAGCATGGGGTTTATATTTGTATGAGAAATGACCACGATGATGCTATCCATGTCTACGTGATGTGTAGAGAGCAATGTGTAACTCTATGGTTGGAGATTCTTTAGCATATTCAGATCCAAGATTAATTTCTTCATTGAGAAGGAGGGAGTATAAGTCATCAGGGCTAATTAGTGTAAGTTTTGTGTGGATATAGGTTTTGAAAGCTTGGTATCACGGAGGAAGCCCATTAAGTGCGCGTAAGATGATGTTTTAGGGTCGACTAAAGAATTGGCCACATCAATGTTGTCCACAAGCATTTTGATGGTTGTAAGATATTGAGTCATGGAGAGATGTTTCATAGTGATTTTATGAAGCTTGTTCTTGAGTTGGATTACCCGAGAATGATTGGATAGTTCTAGTTTACATTCAATGGTTATTCATATGCCACAAGATGAATCTAGATTGAGTATATATGGGATGATTGTGGGAATGAGGGTGGAGCACAGAGCTATGACACAGTTTTTGTCGATGAGGGACCATTGTGTGAAAGAAAAGTTTGGATGAGAGATGCCATTGGAGTGTAAGAGAAGGATAGGTGATGGAGATGTGGTTCCATCAAGGAATACAATGAAACCATTGGCCTGAAATAGTTTAAGGATTTGTGATTTCCTCATGGGATAGTTGTTGTTGGATAGCTATGATATTTGAGATGACGAATTTGAGAGAGGGGGAATGAGAGTTCACCCGTGTGAGATGCCGATGATTGGATCATCTTTTTTTGATGTGTGGTGTTAAGAATTAGCTCTGATATTATGGAAACATAGTCGACAACTGTAAAGAGATAACAACTGCTGTGAATACTAAGCTAAGTTTATGAGAAACAGAAAGAACCTAAGGGAAAAAGGAAGAAGACAACTTTATGCAGAATAGTCATTTATGCGATATGTTTATTGTACTATTTTCATATGTGCTGTATGCATTTATATAAGCCTAAGGTTCTTCTACTTTACAACTGTATGGATGAGATGTATCATATTACTTACAAAGCTATGGTGGTGATTTAAGATTCTAAGGTAATGGCTACTCCTATTCAGATGTGGAAGTGGCTGTCTCTATTAGCCTGTTGGACAGTGTAAACTGACAAAATAAACTTTGTTAGGGATTGGGACTTGAGTCCAAGATTATAAATTTAACGCATGTCATATTAGTTTATTTATTGAGAGTTTTGACTACTAATTAAGAGATTTTGGGTTCGAATCTTACGTATGTGATGTGCGTGTGAGCTTACCTTAATTGTCCTAAATGTCCCGAAAAAATAGTAAGTCTACCTGCAGGGGCGGATCTAGCCTTATTTTTTTAGGGTGGCCAGACTTATTATATAAAAAAATTAAATACTAAAAATTTAAAATACATATAAACTAAAATTATAAAAAAAATAATAACAACAAAATATGATCCAAAATTTAAATATTAAGTAGGATGGGCACATGTATTCAGATTATCAAACCTATCACGGAGATCATAAGGTATTTGTGGTTTCTTCTGGCATTGATGTACAGTCTCGTTATTACCGAATCAATATTTAAAAAGATGAAAGAAATCCTATATGCGTCCAACTCCTCATTATATATATCCTTTGAGGAGCTCTCTTGTGGGGCTATGCATGAATTATATACTTTCACTTCAACAATTGTCCTAAGTTCCTTTCTAATACTCATTTTGTTCTATTTTATTATGATTATTATTATTATTATTATTATTTTAGCTCACAGCTTCTTGAACATGAACTCTTGATAAAACATTTATTAAAAAAAAAACTGAAAGAAATAATAATAATAATAATAATAATGCTAAGCCGGTTGACCCTTTGAGAAAACCAGGCCATGCATGGTAGCAAAATTTAAACATATCAAGTTACTTAAATAAATATTTATATTGCGTGGAATTTTATGTAAAATATTTTTAGGAGTATAATATTTCTCAAACATAAAAGGTCCAATGAAATAATTAAAGCATCCGTTAAAGACATGATTTGAACAAGTACAACAACTAATGAGCACACTAATCCTTTTTAAAATACTTAGATTAAACATTAAACCACCTGATAATCTTTCTGATTACTTTACTAATTAGAAACCATATTAGTTTTTAGAACCCTTAAGCCACAAACTCACAAACTATTTTCAGAAATGCTCATTGAGAGTTTTAAATTATGTTCGATTTTAGTCATCCGCCTCGGCCGGCGGAGGCTGTGTAGACCACACGGAACAGAAACAAGACGAAGAGATTTCCAACCCAATATGAGCTTATTCGACGCTTCCTCCTCGACTCGATACCCCTCATTGATTAAATCAAGAAGGAGCTTCACATGACACTGGTTGAGGGTGGGCAAGATTTCAAAACTATCCCTCCTATAGCTTAAATTTTTTTTTTAGGGTGGGCTGAAGTGAGCGGGGATCCGCCCATTTCTACCCGTATCTTGAAATTAGACCAAAATTGAGGTGAATCCAACAACTCAGCTCTTGGCTCGGCGACCCGAGCCCAATCTGATCCAATAATCAAATAAATTATGGAGTGAACTTCAATCTACTCTCAGCCCTACCTAACAACATATTTTGAATGCACGTGAAATCAAACTTCTTTGATAAATATGTCAATACTGATGGATAAAAGTCATCTCAACGTCACAGCTAAGAAGAAGGCTACGTTTCTTTCTCATCTAATACTCCCCATTTTTATAGTGTTTTATTTTCACCGAGGTCCAACTTGTACAAGGAATGGGGAGAAATTTGCGTCACAATTCATATATAATTATAAAAAAAATTAAGTTATTAATTTTTTATAATTGTCTGGAATATTACGATATAAAATTTAATTAATTAGTCATATATCATATTCATTTTAAAAGTAAATTCAATAATTAAAAAAATATTATTAAATTTTATATTTAAAAATGGATTTATAGTAGATATGCTTTAAGATATGAATCTAATATAAATTATTTATTATTGTACACATCTCAAAGTAGATTTAAGAGTTTTAATTCTATTCTTATTATTTTTATAATTGAAATTTTATTTGAGATAGCTTTCACACTATTTTATAAAATAAAATTTTAATCTAAAAATTTTTGAAAAAAAAATTGTACTAAAAAGTTATTTTAGAAAATATTAAGAAAGTTATTCGAAACAAAAGACTTTATTTGAGATGAATTTTTTATTACTTCTTAAAATATAATTTTAATAAAAAAAATTTATTTTTTATTAATCCAAAAACCAATAAAAAAGTCATTCTAAGCAAAGCCTTAATTTGACTTTTAAAAAAAAACATAAATATTTTTTTTGAATTAGTAAAAAAAGTTTGACTTGCCTTCAGAAAATTCAGGAACTAAGCCGGAAGTTTAATTTTTTGAGAAAATATATTTAATTTTTTTTTTCAAAATATTTTTGACTATTGATTCAAATTTCATCTCAAACAACACAGTAAAAAAAATATTTAATTCGAAATAAATTTTTGAATATATAAATTAAAAAAAATATTTTTTTTTTTCTTGGCCAGTCCCGCCGATTCTGCAGCCGGCCGCGGACGGAAAGATTGGTTGGGGGCCTGAATCTCACTTCTATAAAGCCTTAGCGGAAGTGATTGCTGGAGATCTTCGGTGGGGGAGATGGAGGTGGCGCCGGGAGTTGTGAAGCACGTGCTGCTGGGAAAGTTCAAGGACGACGTGTCGCCGGAGAAGATCGAGGAACTCATTAGGGATTGGGCTAACCTTGTCAACGTGATCGAACCGATGAAGGATTTCGAGTGGTAATATTTAATTTCTTTTCTCAGATTCACCGTTGGCTTTCAGGTTCTTTGTTTTCTGATGCGAATTTTGCTTTTTCATCTCGTCTTTCGCATCGTTTTTTGGTTAGTGCCCCAGCCTTTGAGGAAGAGTTTACAATCTGAAGTTTTTTTTTTTGTTCTTTTTCCCGCTCATTTTCTTGCTGATTAAGTTTGATGCTTATTGTTGGAGAGTTACTAGCTAGCTAGTGTTCATTTTAAAGATAAACAAACCTCCAACAAAGAGGTTTTGCCGTCTAATGTTTATTATTTTTAGCTGTCTCCAATACTTTTTTACGGATAATATTTAATTATTGTTGAGTTATTTTACCCCAAGCACCTTCTACTGCATCATGAATTTGCATTGCATATGGCTTAACGAATTGTTATCCTTAAGTTATTTTGTGGTTTTCTTGCAAATATTTGGATCCTCTCTCTGTCTTTTATTCTAGCCTTATTATTTGGTGTTCTTTGCTCTTTTGTAGAATTCCATTAAACAATAATGCATTGCTATGCACCGTTCATCCCATTTATTTGAAGTTTGTTTTTAATTCTTGATTTTTTTCTTGGACCAGGAGTTTTTGGTCCAAGCGAGATTTCGATCCTAGACAATTTTTTTTGTCTGTTTTTTTTACTAAGAGATGGTGAGTGCGTTGATGATCTACATTAGCTTGTGTCTCCAACTTTGGCATTAGCTTTGTTAGATCCAATAAATTACTCGTGTTTAAGCCTGTGAATTTCTTCCGTGATTGAGGATTGCTATCATTGGTGTAGAATACTTCTATCATGTTGCATCTTGGTATTTTCATGTTCAACAACACTAGCCATGCCTTGTGGAAAATTAGCATCAAGTAATACTTAATAGACCAAGATCTATATGAAGTCTTGAATGGCGTGGATACTCCAATTTTGGTGGATGACCCCAACAACAAAGAATTAAGGAGTGAGTGAAAAATCAAAGCCTTCAAAGCTATGTGCCAAAGTTTATAGAGAGAAGGAGCACTTATGCAAATTTAAGAGATTGATCAACCCAAGAAGTCATGAGATGTCTTCTTGGTTCTTTATTTTGGAATCAATGAGGCACAAATCTAAATTTTGGATAATGAGATTGTGTCAGTGAAGCTACATAATATATCAGTTTCTTAGTTTTTCTTAAAGCCATGATATTGTTTGTTAATCTATGTTTTATTTTTCATAGTTCGCAATATTATAAACTAAGCACCGAGGAGTTTTGGTTATAATATTATGCTTATATGGTTGTGTAGTATAGTTAGGCTATACTATCAAGATTGATCATGCTAGAGAATTGATTTGTAATGGATGTTTTAAATTCTCAAATGGGTAACTTACTTAACAAGATTGTAAAATTAATCTGAGTGAAAATTTATATACCCAATATCATTTATTAGTTTTGGACTTTAAGTTTTAGGGGTAGAACATTAAAAATAAATTAAATCATTGTTCCATGATTAGATGGGGGCATTTAAAAAATATTAATAGAAATATCTTTGAGAGTAAGATTATAAATCTTAAGATTTTGTATGTGCATGAGGAAGCTAATATTATGTGGGAAAAAGTATCTAGTGATATAAATACTGTTGCAAAAGATGTGCTTAGAGTATCAAAGGAAAAATTTACTAATAGTAAAAATAGCTTGTGGTGGAATCAAAATGTGTAAGAGAAGATAAAAAATTAAAAAATTAAAAAAAATTATTATAAAAATTTGTTTAGCTATAAAAACTCTGATAATTGAGAAAGATATAAAGAGATCCGTAAGAAGTCTAAGAAAATACAATGATTTTAAATTTTAATGAATTATATAATAGATTAGATATAAAGGAGGGCAAAAGATATATGTATAAGTTAGCTAAACAAAGAGATATGAGTAATACGGATTTAATTTAGTTCAAGTGAAGTGTATTAAGGATGGTGATAAAAAAGTGCGTTTATTAGAAAAGGATCCTCAACAAAGATGGATGAGATATCTTGCTAAACGTTTTAAGGAAGATTATGAGAACGCAATTGACTTTATTGTTCTTAGTACCCTAAATGAAAATAAAAATTTTTGTTTTTATCGGCGTATTAGTAAAATCGAAGTTAAAGAGGCTTTAAAAAAATGAAGTGTAGATAAGCTATTAAATATGATGATATTCTAATAGAGGTATGGGAATGCTTAGGAGATGAAGGAAATTCTTGGCTTTCTAAACTTTTCAATACTATTTTGAAGACTAAAAAGATGTCAGATGAGTAGAGAATCAATGTGTTGATTATTATTATTAAGAATAAAGGTGATGCATAAAATTGTGTGAATTATAGAGAAATTAACTTAATGTGTCATACTTTAAAACTATGGGAGAGAGTTATGGAAGCATAGGTTGCTACATGACACTAATGTTTCTCAAAATCAATTTGGAAGCATGCCAGGTAAGTTTATTATTGAAGCTATACATTTATTGAGAGGTTTGATTGGGAAGTATAGAGAGAATAATGAGGATCTACATATGATTTTTATTGATTTAGAGAAAGTATATAATAAACACTGTCGTTGCCAGGTCCCAAGTCCCGTATGAGAAAAGTGGAAGGTTGCGTTAGGTAGTTGACAGCCAACATAAAACTTGTTGAATAATCATGATATTAGTCCTTCAAAAAATTGTATTAATGCTAGGGCGTCACCTGAAAGCATCACGCTATATGGCCTGAATACAGCGACAAGTGTGCAAGGGCCACGACATCGATGCCTAGGTGCATGTTAAATATGCAAGGATTCTCACATCAAGGATGAATGTTGGCAAAGAAGCTAGTCCATGAAATTAAAATTAAAATAGAAACCTGGAATATAGGTTCCCTTGTAGGAAAATTCATAAAATTAATATATATATTATGATTAATAGGAAGATAAATATTCTGTGCATTCAGAAAAATAAATGAGTTACAGAGAATGCTAAGAAGATTGATAGTTTAAGATGTAAACTATGACATTCGGCTAGGAGTCATACAAGAAATAGTGTAGGTGTGTTTATAGATAACAGTTTGAAGGATAATTTTATAAAAATTAACAGAATTGAAGATAGAATTATAAATTTAAATATTGTTGTTGATGTTAAGATTATTAATATTGTAAGTGTTTATGCTCCTTAAATAGGTTTGGATATGTGTTTAAAATTAAAATTTTGGAATAACTTAGAAAAATCAATACAAAAAATACCTCTTGAAGAAATAGTTTTTATTGAAGGAGATTTAAATGGACATGTTGGTAGAGAGGTAAATGATTTTAAAAGCATTCATAGTGGTTATGGGTTTGAAACGATAAATAAAGGTAGTAAGATCATATTAAAATTTTCTTTTGCTTATGATTTTTTAATAGCTAATACCTTATTTAAGAAAAGAGATGAGCATCTTATCATTTATATGTGGCTCCAAAAATTCAGCCTCGGCCTCCCCGCCGCGCGACATGATTGTGTGCTTTTTTTTTTTCGGCGAGAGAGTTTTAACAGAATTAAGTTCCGGGGTAAATTTTGGAAGGCAGATGAGTTTGTAGATAAGACACTACCCGGAGATTTCGCCCTCATTTTGTGAGGACTTTATGATTTGATTTCTGGTTTCCTATAGGCACAAGCCCCTATAGTTAATTACCCCTCCCGATCACGAGAGAGAACTTTCAATTAAGGCTAGTCGTCAATCAGATACATAGAGATACGTGTTATCTGACATATAGTAGCAACATGGATTAGGATTTGGAAATTGGGTTTGAATTTGAGTATTTGGAAGGGTTTGAAATTTTTGATATTTAAAATAAGAAATTTCACCACCTAGCACTTAAAGCGGATGGTGGGGGAATGTATGATAGACCCGATCAAGATCTCATGGTTTCGTCTTCCCGGGCCATCGTGGTCCCTGGTCTACTTAGTCATAGGAGGTAGTCAACCCAACCTGACAGAAGGATCCTTGTCGGCAACCATGGGTTGCTTCGTCTAAGGGTACCTTATAAACCTGGGGTGAATATTTGCCTAGAGGGACAAATTTGGATCCACCTTAGCTAACAGAGGGCTTTGTGCCCTATCGATCATATCCTATTGATTCATATCTCAAGGATTTGATGCCAATAAGGAACCTATTGACGCTGGCCATAATCGGTATATATGGTGCCATTTGGTGGCAAAACCACTCGGTTCAGAGGGCCCTGGGTCATAACCGTTTATCCTGCGGTGTCATTTGGCGGCGAACCGCCGGTTAGAGGACATGTACCACGTCCTTACTTGCAGGAGATTGTTTGAAAATGGATCCTAGTGATATTTTCACATGTGTACCAATAACATGTTCGTCGGGGCCCATGCGGGTATTTGGGGGCATTTTATGATTAGACCGTGTCTACTCTTTTTTACTTGTTTAGGAGGATTGGGTTTAAAATTTGATAACCAGCGCAACATCCCTAGATGTCACGTGTGTACCAATAACATGCTTGCCGGGGCCCATGTGAGTTGAGATTATATTTTCCCCTTTATTGTACCTATGCGTATACAAATTACAGTTAACGTGCAGGGGTACTATCATGTTCTTTGCTACAACAACCTTCAGGTGCTTTACATGGGGTACTATCATGTCCATATTGTCCCAAGTACAATATCGCGTTTACCCGAAATTTCGGCAGCCTTCCGGCATCTCTCTTGTTTAGGGGAAAACTACGGAAAACTGGGCCTCCCGCCACGCTAGAGAAAAGAGTGCATGGTAGGTGCCCTCGGACGAGGACACCGCGGCCGTAATAATTTTCATTCCCCACCATGCCAGAGAAAGGCGTGCATGGGTTTTCGGACACCAGTTTAAAATAAGCAATTTTATATTTGATCCCACCTCGCCGTAGGCGTCGCACCGGGTTCCCTTCCCACCACGCTAGAGAAAAGCGTGCATGAGTTGATTTTTCGGTCCGACACTAACACCAAAAATGGGGTTTTGATTACCCATCCCGTCGCAAGCATCGCAACGAATTC